CTAGCCATGGACCAGCACCTGCAGGAGAGACCAAACCCTCTTGCCTGCAGGAATCACACGGAGGAGTTCCTGCTGCTGACATCTGGAGCTCAGGGGGGTTTCTGTACACACTTGCACACTTGCAATATGCTATTTATCTTCCCTCTTCCTCAGCTGTGCCCAGATCTTACCTGCATATCTTAATTCTCATCTGTTTTCGCATAAGATACATTTTAGCCCTGCAGCATTGTGCTGCTATGACAACAGGCTTGCACTTCTACTGCTTTCACACCCTTGTTTTTCTTGTATTAGGACTCTTCCCCTCATCTCACAGCCTTGCTCTAAAGACATGACTTCATCCTTTATATTTGTCAGCAGAATGCACTATTTGTTCTACAGACTGTTTCCCTGGAAGTGTTTTTAGTGCCTGAGAGAAGGTGAAGACCTACTACATCCATTGCCAGATCCACAGCTGAGTGCTTGTGTCCAGGCATTCAGAAGTAGTCAAAGTTTTAAAATAAAGGGTACCTCGTGCTAGTCAGGGTCAAAACAGACCCAGATTTTGGTTCCACTAAACCACCACAATCAACTTCCACCGACTTTGAAAATAATGGTTTAAGCATGCCATGTCTGTACAGCAAAGTATTTGGAAATACCACAGACATAAAACATAAACATGTTATTTCTAAAGGTGGTTGTTTCCTCCAGGAGTTTCCTCACACATACAAAGTAAGTGAGGAAATCTGTGAAGACCGCAGACAGAGCGTGCTGGTGCACACATGAACAGGAACAGAATAATTAAGGAGCAGAGAGAGGAAATAAAACCCCAAAAAGTATGAGGTCTGCAAGATTTTGAAGTTAAACTGTTTTGTTCTGCAGTAATCAGAAGTTCTGAAGCTCTTAAATAAACGTGCCTTTAGATGGAAATACCTAATTTTACTTTGTTTGCATGTTCAAATAGATATTTAATCAGTTATCTATGTCAATTAACGGCCAGTTCATATGAGGAGAGCGATGTATAAGCACTTCTAAAAAACTGTAGTTAGTAGAGATTTCTTTAAAGAAGAAAACCTCTTATCTACAGATTTTCATAGAGGCAAACTGCAAACACGATCGCCTTCAGTAAGGAGTAAGGCATGTCACATTTCAATCCTTTTCATCTTTATGTCTTGACATCTTAAGTGGACTTTTTGCCAAAAAAACATTAGTACTGTGTTATTGTTATAAACACAGTAATGTAAGTGGAAAAGAAGATATTTTTCTGGGGGAAAAAAGGAAACCTTATTTTTTTTTTAAAAAGTCTTCAGTAGTATAATGTAGTTAACTCACTGTAAGCATAGAGGAACAAACAGGTTCAAAAGGATGGCTCTCGAATCCTGGCTAAATTAGACCATATTTTCTGAGGTTCAAATATCTGTCTAGGTCTGTATTTCCAGTGAGTCTGTATGACTTCAACCTAAAAAGTTTCTAGCTGCAAGTGGAAATACCACTATGAAATGGTAGGGGGCTGTTTTAACACCATTCTTAGGTGGGATTCTAGGCTTAGTCGATCTCTACAGACTTTACATAATCATCTGAACTTCTGCATGATTGTCCACACCAAATATCCCAATTATTTTTGGTTCTCCAAGCTGTTATTGGAAATACAGGGGTAAAAGCACACTTTCTTCAGTTCAGTGTTTTTACTTCCTATCTCTCTCTCTCTCTCTCAAAAGAGTGAAATCTTGAGGAGGAAAGGTCCTGCGCACCGACAGCACAAGAGGCCAGTTCCCTGTGCTCAGCTATAGAGCAGGTACTGCAGCGAGTAAAATTTCATTATTGTCCTCCCACAGTATATCAGTCTCAGGATGCATCTCTTCCATATCTGAGATTCTACCAAGGCTTTTTATTGGATCACGTATTCAAGACCAGAGACTGAGGATATGTTTAGATTTCTCCCTCTCTTCTGCAAATGACTGTGCCAGCTGGAAACGCTACATTGGGATGGTACGCTTAGAATGGTTCAAGCATTTATGAGAGCTATCAGAACTATGGATAGAGATTTACACAAAAATATTAAATAAAAGAGGACTTGGCCTCATCTCCAAATCAAAACTATTATATAAGGCAGCCACACGCCTCCCTGCTAACGAGCAGTAGACACCTTGTGTGAAGTAGCTTGTACGTTCAGCAAGACCCGCCGCTGTCATGTGAGCAGCCAGTGTGGCCCTGGCAGATGTGTGCTGTCAGGGGGGAGTCCTGTGGTAGCTCCTACTCCGGGAGCACTGCTTGAGACCTGGGATTGAGACAGTGGTGAGGCTGAGCCATTTCCAGAATCTCTTTCCAGCCAGCCAACAAGGCATTGTGCAGTTGCAGTAACGGCGAGTTTCTCAGTTCTGATAAATGTGCCCATGAGGAATTGCACTAAGCTAACCAGAGTGTTTTAGAGATGTCACCACAGAACTTATTTCATTGACTAATTAATTGATTAGGATATTAGAATAATTAACCAGCTATGTTTCAATTTCAACTGCTCAGACCCCCAAACTTTGTATCTCTTTACTTAAGGGGACAAAAATGAAAGCCGACTTCTTCCTCTGCCTGAATCAGGGGAAGTCTCCTTCCCTTGCCACATGACTAGGGCAGCTGTAGCTGCTCAGGGCTCATTCTCTTCCCTCCTTGGCAGATGAAGTGGGATATGGCAGGTAAGGAAACCAAGAAGAGGTGCGGCAAGAGCAGCCAGCATCTGCCTGGGGCAACCGTTCTCCTGTGTCTCCCATCCCATCCTCCTGCTTGTGGGTGGAGATGCACCAACAGCCATGCAGGAGGAGCTAGCATCCAACCTGACAGTTATTCTAAAACAAAACCTCTCCCTTGGGGAGATCGTCCTCCAGAAAAAGAAACATAAGCAAATGGTGCCGTTTAGGTTCTCTGTCCTGATTGTGCCCACAAGGCACAATTTTCAGAAATGTGAGTGGGGTTACCTACGGTTTCATCCAGGACACTTATTTCCAAGCAATGTATTTTGAGTTGGTTGGCTCTGGACCGGGGCTGGGGCTGCCTTTGCTCCCTTCTCCCATTCATGCAATTGCATAATATAAGAAAACTTTGATGGCCACCTTTTCCTTTCTCCTTCTCTTCGTGGGCCCTGTTAACACAAAATGATTTAGCCCTGTATCACAACAGATGTTACAATATTGGGAGCTAGAAGCCCTCCCTTGTGTTTTGCTGTTCTTTGACCCACAGAGCTATCCACAAGGTTGGATAGGCAGCTGCCTGAGTGTGTCTCTGCCCACAAACAGAAAAATAATCAGGACAAAGAATATAATCTATTCTACACAAGGCATATTGGAATTAACTAGATAAGTAAAGAGTTGGAAATAATGCATCAAATATGCCTGACAATGTCTAAACAGTCAAATGGTAATGGAGTTCATTATCTCAATAAATGAAAAATAATCATTCTGTTGGCCAATTCTGTCCATTAAAAATGAGGTTGTATTAAATACTGACAGAACTTTCTAAGTTATACCTCTTTCGCTGACGTGATAAATCTTATGCAGAAGTTTGCTTGCGGAAAGATTCTGAGTACCATTTATTTGTGTGTCACTGTGCTATTGACAAAACTACAGATCCCTAGAGAAGGCAGTACAGAGAAAAAAATCCATTATCATTATTATCCTATGACTGAGTAAATGTGCACATACTGGATGCGACTGCAATTCATGGTACAAGAAAATGAAGGAATGAAAATTGTCTCTCTGGAGTTTTCTCATTGGCCAGTAACATTCTTGTTACTGTACTTAGTGAGTTGACACATTAAATCTGTTTGCTCGTTACTGTTGGGTAATATGTCAAAAGGAAAACATAAAACACTGAGTGGCTTTGTACTATAGTTCTGTATGTGCCTACAGTCGAAATAAAATATAAATAAATCCACTGTAACAGTTATTTCCTTGTTTAGTAAAGAGGGAGGTCTGACCGAAGTCTTTTACAATAGGTGTTTGCATCTGTTTTCTCATTTTAGAAGAGAGACTCCCTGAAGCAATTAAAAAGAATTAACATTGGCTTTTATATGGGCTGACAGTTTGACGTTCAGAACAGAAGAAAAAGAAAAAAAAAAGCAATGCTGAGTCTCTTGGGTTTCCTCAAGGCAACAGCAAAAACGTGCAGGATAGAACTAGCCACACCTCTGGTTATTTCCAAATGTTCCTTTCTTTTTTCCTGGGTGAACTTGACTCTCTCAGCACACAGTTTTTGCATCTATCCTCCCAGGTTTCCGACATGTTATGACACATAGTCGGGTGAGATGTCCTGTTAGATTGTAACTCGCACGCTCCGTGCTGCTCAAGTGACAGGGAAAGATGCTGCCCGCTCTAACTTGAACCGGCAGCACAGGCTGCACCATGCCTGCAATCTACGGCAGGGCTAGATTTTCTCTTCGTCTATGAAACCAGCATTTTCTGTGATGGTGGGGTGGGAATGAAGGGGGAAAAACCACTACCCGCTAAAAATAATCTGTTGAGTTATGTCATTTGCCTTCATGAGCAGTAAGAAGAAGGTTTTATGCTACCCCTCTCTGTGGAGAAGTGCAGCCCAGACACAGCAGCAGCCCCCAAAACCATTCTCGGCAGCCTGGCAGATTGGTACCTAACTGCTTTTGAAGTTTGAGTCTATCAAAACCCGAGACGCCGTAACTCGGGAGCACGACTGCCGCGCGAGTATAGAGACACAGAAAAATTACTTAAGCAAGCAGACTGCCCTTCTCGCTCACCCAAAGCAAGTAAAAGCAAAACAGGGAAAACAGGAAAGGAAAGGAAAAAAAAAGGGGAAGAGAGCGGATCCCGCGGCGCTGGCAGTGAGTGCGATGCCGGCTCCCCGCGCCGGGCTGGCGTCCCAACTGTTGCAGGGAGGTGACCGGGGAGCTGCGGTGGCAGCGGCGGCAGAGCCCGGCGTGCGCGGGTGGGTCCGTGCCGGCGGGCAGGTGCGGGGAGCGGGGCGGGACGCGGGGCGGTGATGGCCGGGGGACCCGCCGCGGTTACCTTGAGGATGAGATCGGTGTGGTGCTGGTCCAGCATGTTGGCCTTGCGAAAGGAGGTGATGATCACCCGGCCGTACCTCCCCGGCGTCTGCAGGTCGGAGTAGAGCCGGTGCTTGGAGCGGTTCACCGGGAAGAGGCTGTCCACCAGGTTCCTCTCGATCTTGGCCAGGCTGTGCGTGGGAGCCAGGAGGTGCTCCACGTTCTCCTCCACCTGGTAGCGGCTGAAGCTGGCGCCCAGAAGGATGGAGATAAGCACAGGCGCCGAGGCGAAGAACACCGGGTGGCTGGCGACGAAGTGGCCGAGCCGGGAGAAGGACGTCCCCAGCCCCCTGTGCAAGACCTGCCGCAACATCCTAGTGCGGAGGGCGCGCAGGAGGGCGAGCGCCGCGCCGGGGCCCCCGCAGCTCCCCCACGGCCCCCGCAAGACCATGGGGCAGCCCCACCGGGCGCCGCCTCCCCGCCGGCCGCGGCTGCGGGGGGCCGGGGGCCGCCGCCGCGCGTGTGCGTGTGTGTGCGGTGTGTGCGCGCCCGCCCGGCTGCGTGCGCGGGGCGGCTCGGGCGCCCGTCCTCCCGCAACGCCGCCGTGCCCGAGAGGAGTTTCCCAGCCCCTCGATGCCTCACTTCCCAACCCGCCGCCCCTCGCCGCGGAGCGGCGGCGCGGACCGCCCGCGGGGGGGGCAGGGGGGCAGCCCCGCCGCCGCCCCGCCGCGGGAAGGGGAAGGGGCAAGCGCCGCTCCCCGCCCCCGCCGCGGAGTTCGCGCGGGAGCGGGGCTGCCCGCAGACTGCTGACTAATCCCCCGGCCGCGGCAGGCGAAGCGAGGCGGGGCGGGCGCGGAAAGCCCTCGGCGGCGCCCCTGCCGCCGCCGCCCTCCGCCCAGGGGCGCGGGGCCACGCCGGGCGGCGCCTCGCACGGGGCGGCGGGCGCAGCGCGGCGCCTCCCGCCGGGGCCGCCCCGCCGGCCGCGCTCGGGACGCCGCGGCGCGCCCCGCCCCGCCCGGCCCCGCCCGCCGCCGCCGGCGGCAGTCGCCGGCCCCGGGACCGCGGGGTAGCGCAGCCCGGCCGCGGCACGGACGGGCGGGAGGGCGCTGGGGCGCGGAACGACCGCCCCCCGTGCAGGGGGAGTTGGGTGTGTTTCTTGGGGGGGCTTTCGCGCGGGGACCCGCCGCCACAAACGTCCAGGCACTTCCCGCGGCGGCGGGGCCGGGCTGCGCCCCGGGGTGCCCGACGGCAGCGCCCCGCGGTGCGGCCGCACAGGTGCCGCGGCGGCGGGGCCAGCGCAGCCCGGCACTGCCCGCGCGCCCGAGTGGGCATGTGCGGCGCTCGCACATGCCCATTAGGGAGGCCGGTGCCGCCGGCGGGGCTGTCCCTGCCCGGATCGCGGTCCGTGCCCGCCCGGCATCGCCCCCGGAGCCGCCCCGGCACTGCCCCGGTTCTGCCCCGCGCGGGGAGCCCCGCACCTGCCGGCACCGCGCCGTGCCGGGGGAGCGCTGTCGCTCCCCTCACCCTGAACCGGCATCCCCGGCGCTGCCCACCTGTGTGTAGGTACAGCCCGTCCCCGCCGGATGCGATCCAGGGGTACGGCCTCGTTTTTAAACGCAAGTTGCATTTAAGTAGCAGAATCGAGCAGAAGCGCTGTGGCTGTTGGCATATTTGGGCACGCTGATTCCTAGCGCTGTCGCCTGGCCCAAGCTGCTACTTCCCAAACCAAAGGTGCTCGTGTTGGTAGTCCAGTTACTCCCCAGGCCAGTGGTTTTACAAACCGGAGAAGAGGAAGTTTTTGTTTGACAACTGTTGCACGTGTTGCTGCATGAAACGGCAGCGGCTCCCTGTTTTGGTTATTGAAGGCTGACAGTCATCCTCCCTTTTACATTTCTGTGGTGTCTGACCTGACCTAACGTTTTGTCACGGACTCTTCATGCACAAAATCTCCTTGACATAATTGCTGTCTTCTCACAGCTAGGTCACACAGCTTGAATGCTAAACTCTTTCCATGTTTCACTCCAATGTGGTGAGTGAATGGCTTAATTGAGCACGGCCAAGGTACGGCAGGTAAAGTCCCAACATCCCCTGGTTCCTCTGGGTTTCGTGCCCAAGACTAGGAATCCTTCCTGAGAGTGGTCTGCCTATGGGGTCAGTGCAGCTGCCTGTAGAGTGCGCCAGGGCTGCTGGGGTTTGTAATACGCTCATGCCTCTGCTCAGTTCCACTCCCACAGAGGTGGCTCCTCACTGCTTGTATCAGTCCTACGTAAGTTTAAGAAAGAAAATTAAATATAATTTAAAGAAGACGTCAAAAGTGGAAATAGAAGCAGAAGCACACACATGGGAGAGGATTGGACCTAAGTTTGGGTGAAATTCAATATTAGGTCAGGCCTCAGAGCCTAGCTCTCTGTCTCCCAGTCCAGCACTCCCCCCTCACGGCTCACTTCTGCACACAAATCTGAGCACAGGCTTACTCACATCATTGTATATCAGGGGAACATCGGGATGTGCCTAGTGCTTTATGTCATTAGCAACAAATGAAGACCTTTTGTCATTGCTGCTGATAGTATCATCTGTGCTGATTGTTTTTGGCCTCCATTAAACATATTTTATCATCATTAACACTGAAGAGAGATTAATTAATTATTTCCGTAACCATTCAGTGGCTGATTTGCAGTTTTCTAGGGTACCTCAGGAACACTAGTTTGAGGACCTGACATCCAGCTCAGTTCTCAGCACCTTAACTTTGGGTAAACTATAGGTGGTACCAGGAAGACTCGTAGACTCATTAGGGTTGGAAAAGACAGTTGAGATCATTGTATCCAACCATTAACAATATATATATCCATTTTGCTGATGCATAGAGGAAAAAACTGATGTATCAGCAGTTCTGTGGAATGTTCCTCTGTCTTCCCAGAGCAGTGTCAGTTTTATTGCCTGTTGTAACCAACATCAAGCTGCACTGTTGGCTGTGATGGAAATATCTTTCCAAAGGTAGGCATGGCTTTTTACTCCGCAAAATTCTGCCTCCCCTTTGCCCAAGGAATCGCCCTGCCTTTGACTGTGGGGTTGCCCGTGGGGGAGGGATGGACATACAGGGGTGGGAAGTGAGGTAGCTTGACACATGCTGTGTGTGCTGGAACTGCCCTGAGTACATTACAATGCCACAAGCATCCTGTGAACGTTACCAAACCAGAGGGGAAACCTGCATACTCCTAACTCTGCAGATACTGAAATCACCTTGTTACTGATCATCATTGCTCTGTCACTCCAAAAATTGCCATCAAAATACATTCTGTGGTGATGTGGTTGTCAGAATAGCTAGAGGCCTCTCACAGCACTTTGTGAAGACCAAAGCATGGCTGAGCTCTTGCCTCTGTTGTAGGGGAAAGCCTGTAGCACATGCCATGCAGTGAGTGCTGGGCATTAACCAGCTCTACCTGTCTTTTGGAGGAACTGGAAGGGTAGGATTTCTATCATGTGTATGTGCTACTCTGCTACAGCTCTTGAATGGCGCTTTACAAAATAGATAATGATGTCTCATTGCTCTAGAGAGATTCCAAACTAAATTAAGAAGAGAATGATGGGAAGAGATGACCATACAATGAGGTGCAGATGCTGGAAATAGGGATAATGAGGGGGAGAACAATATGATTATGTCCTTTCAAAGCGAATGCCTCAGGGTAGCTAATGTTGGGGACAGAGTGTAAAAGGGAGATGGGAAAGATGTGACTAAAAGATGGCATCTGCATAGGGTTTAAGTCTGCTCTCAAGAGCAGACCTGTCTGCTGTGAAGCATTTGTTGACTCTCTGTACAAAGAGACTGCCTTGACCCATGCTCAGGAGCTCTCAAGGACAAACAGGTCAGATGGATTAGCACGAATGATGTGCTGTCATTCCCAGGGCCTACAAAGCCTTGGTGGGTTAAGCACTCCACAGCCCAGGTCAGACGGCTTTGGGATGACTTGAGCATCTAGAAATGAGCATATCTCTATGCGTTTGCTCAAATCTTGTTACAATGGCAAGTTTTAAAACTAATGTGAGAGGAAGAAGTTGACAAGGTTTTATTTAAAATAACCTCCTTCTCCTACCTACCCCCCAAAGTGGTCCAATGAAAGAAAAAGCTCAGAGAAGTGATGGAGGAGTGGATTCCTGATGAGTAACTTCAGATGAGTGAAGAGGGCCTAGGAGAAAAGAAAGGTGTCAGGAGCAGCTGGGATGGCTGTGGGAGGTATGCAGAAAATCAGGGTTTTGCATTGTTTAGTTAGGCATGAGGAACCAGAGAAGATATTTTAGGAGTGTGTGCAGGGGATTTAGTGCTGCGAATGGGGAATGTTTTTTGCAACAGGGCACTGAGCAATGTGTGATGCAGGTTCCAGCTGGAGCCTGGAGAGAATGAGGTTACCCACAGCGAGGAGATGCGTAACAAAGACTTTTTTTTTTTTTTTAAGGGAACTAAAAGAAAAATTTTCAAGGAGAGTTTAATAATTATGGTTAGACTTTTAAAGGGTTGCAAAAGCTTTTTTATTGACATTCTCTGTGTTATGCTCATTTATACCTGCTGAAAGTCTTGCTGGTGACATGCAAAGACATTGTGCTTTGTGCCAAGGGATCAAAATGACATGTAGCCAGTCCAGGATGGCAAGGGAGAGCAGTAGCTCTCATTGGATCACCCGATCAAGCTCTGCTCTGTATTTCTTGGCCCTAGGTCTGGGACCTGGGCCAATGCCAATTAAATTGGTGAGGACACAGACAAGGTTAACGATAAAGTTAATCTCCCATTGCTGATTGGTGAGGGATCCTCACAACTTGCAGCTTTTGTCCATTTGCAGTTAACAGAAAAGCAAAGCAGAAGGAAGCCTCCTTCTTATTTCCAGCCTGGGTCTCATCACAGTAGGAATATTACACAAAAGTATCACTCCTTTCACTCATATGTGCTGCACTTCTCCCACAAGGATGGCAATTTGCTTGTACTGAAAAGGGCTTTCTAGAAGCAACCTTGGGAAATTGAAAGCCGGTCTCGCTGCAGTTAGTTGTTCATATTTAATCAATGAAACTTCACTTTCCTCTTTTTCTTTCCTCAGTCCCACCTTCTTTTGGATGGCACCAAGGAGTGGTGCACCATAGGCACAAACAGCATGATCAGAGTTTAAGAACCCGAAAACTAAGGTGATTATTTAAACAGAGAAAGCAGAAATGAAATAGAGGAACAAAGCAGCATCACAAAGCATCTCTCTACATCAGTCCTTTGGGTCATGAAGGATGGGGCTGTGTGAACAACAGCTGCCTTCTTAACCCGATGTACAGACCATAAAGCAATACCCTGCCAAGGGATGGCCACACATTTTGCAATCTGCATCCGCAGATTTCATTGCCAGAATTCAAGATGGCTGATTTCTTGCCTCCTGAAACAGGCGACTGACAAAATCAATTGTGTTGTAATATTTTCTTTGGTGTGTATAAGCCCCTAGTGTTCATCAAATGGAAGGGAAGAGAGAGGCAAAGATGGAGAAAAGCTATGGCTGCGCACCTTGGCTCTGCACTCCCCAGTACCCTGACGTGCTGCCACCCGTGACAGGACACACATGTTCTAATTGAACGTGCTAATGCAGATCTTGGGAGAAGTCATGGGAACTGGAATATCTTTTTGCATCTGCTAAAAGGAAAGAAATCTTCCCTCCTGCTCCGGCATGACCACATCTCTTTTTTGCAGTGTGTCCTGTAAAATGCAAATATGTAAATGCTCCTTGC